TTACACGAAATAGGGTGAATACATCTCATTACACTGATTTACTGGTAGTCTCGAAACCCTACTCTAATGCTTGCCTCATGACCAAAGCTGTACTATAGTCTTAGTATCCCGAAATTTTTCCATTCTAACCACCAATCTCACAATTTGTTCAACAGCAGGTGTATCTAGCTTGCTAGTGTTTTGGGGCCGTTGCACCTCTTATGCTGTGAATTCATCCTCCTGGCCCCATCTATTTTTATATTGCTCATAGATTTGGCGTTGACTTTGACTAAGGGATAAAATATTCCATGAGTTATTTTAACCCTATTTCGTCTGAGGTGATGAAGGACTGGTAGTAGAATTTTCCCACAATTATATGAGCAGAGCTGACGTTTCCATTGAACTTCATATAGCCTTACTTTCCTAAAAAGTGATCTCATCCAGGCACCAGTGGACTGCAGCTTCGACCTCGCCTCGGTTTTATCAACACCCCTAGCGGGAGTCGAACCATAACAGTGCAGCATGTAATCTTGATTTGTTAATTACTGCGCCACATTTCCACGAGTGTCATTGAGTCACAAGGTAGATGTGAATTTCAAGAAAGGCCAGGCATTTTTCCATCTTCCATCGATGAAGCAAAGTTATATTTGCTATAAAAATCAACGACATTACTTATATTTCATTTTGAGTAGGCTTTTGAAACGACCAGCTACTCAAATCTATGCTTAACGTGTCGAGATTACACGCCTTATTGTCATGGTTAGACTCCCGCTGCGGGTGTTGAAAAGACCCAGGCGAGGTCGAAACTGCAGTCCACTTCGGTCTGGATGAGAGCACCTTTTGGGAGGGCAAAGCTATGTGAAATTGAATGGAAACGTCAGCTCCACTCATATCATTGTGGGAAAACTCAACTACCAGTCCTTCAGCACCTTAAACGATATAGGCTGAATATAGCTCTTATATCTTTCATTACCATAACAGGGAAATTTCATCGTCACCCCTTAATTCACCTTAAAGTAACACGAGGTGAGTAAAGTTATTA